AATGCTTTTCGGGTGACACATTTTACTTTTACATAGGTTTTAAACTCTATTGTTTATATTTTAATTTTTTTGTTTAAAAGGCCAATTATTATGTAAAGAGATATTTAAAGTCTAATGAGAAAATAATCTTATGTATTACCCAGTGCCGTTTGTACCTTTGTGTAGGTCCATATTTCCATCTGGACTAATTTTCTTTCTGCCTGAAGAACTTTCTTTAACATTTCTTCAGGAAGTGAATTTCTATCCCTTTTAAATGTCTGAAAAAATCTAATTTCATCTTATTTTTGAAAGGCCCAGGATACTGGGTTGACAATTGTTTTCTTTAGTACTTTAAAAGAAAGCGTTTAGTCTAGGGCTAACTATTCCCCACTACTGAGCAAGCGTGTCCGAATTCTAAAACCAATTGTCTCTGAATTATGAGGTGTTCTGCTCTGCTGAAGGTAACAGGGAGTCCTAGACCAAAAGGTACTGCTTATCTAAAAGTCTCAGGTATATGTTCCCCAGCTTTATAGGGTTTCGTCGTATGCCGGTACTGATCAGTATTCTGCTGGAAACTCAAGGGCAACAGTGTGCAGATCTCCAAGAATTTTCCCTCCGTGTAGCTCTCCTCTCTTTTATTCTGTCATGTGAACTCTAGCTGCCTTTGTCTCCCCGGAAACTTAGCTTCCTTCAACTTCGGGAGTCGGCAGGACACCCCCGCTCAGGGCTCCCTCCCTGTGCCATGTCCTGGAAATTCTTTCAAGGCAGCAAACTAGGGCTCACCTTGTTTGTTTCCTGTCGGTCAGTAATCATCATCCTTGGTGAAAAAAAAATGGTTTTATATATTTTGACCCACTTTTTGTTTCTTTTGTGTTTTTGTTGTGTTTTTTTTTTCAGACAAAGAGGGTAAAACTCACTCTTGTTAGTTTGTGTTTGTTATAAATGAATGTTATAACTGCTATTTGCAAAGTGATTTACACATGCTACTTTCCAGGGAATGGAGTGAGAGAAGAGTTCCAATCATCCCCTGAGCACTATAGCGTATAACAATTAGAACTTGATATTTAGATCAGTTAATTTAGATATGTCAACAACCAGAGCAAGGTGTGGTGAAATCAGATCTTCTGTTTATCTATGATCTGTTCCAAAGAATTCCTTAAACTGTGTTACCTTGAATGCAAATGTGACATAGACAAACGACAAGAAAGTAACTTGCATTAATTTTTAAAGTGGAAAAACAGATTGAGTTGATTGAGCCACTTGTGAGTTCTTCAACTACCTATTGATCAGTTCAGTCGAAGGACCTTTTTTTCTGGATTCTAACCTTTCTCATCACTTACCCCGAGATCTCTCTGAAATGCCTCTCACTGTCTGCCCCGGATGTGTTATACATTTCTTGATAATCTACTTGGGTTTTTGTTAGGCCTGTTCCCTAGATGCTCCACGGACTCTGTGATTCTCCATCTCTCCTGCCCACACACCTGAGTTAGTGTTTCCAGGCCAAGGGTGAATGAAATAGTGAATAAAGTTACAATATATTAAGTACTATCTATCTGTCATTGAAGCCTTCTATATTTTTTTGTTATAAACAAAGAGAATCGATGTAAAATAAAATTAATCTTCACAAACATTCTAGCACATAGAGTTCCTCAAATATATTTGGCTTATAGTTCTCTGTGTGTGTGTGTGTGTGCGTGTGTGTGTGTGTGTGTGTTTTAAGCAACATAAACTATTGTCAGTGCGTCCATTCTCATTGCAAGTAAAACATTTCACAATGCCTGTGCAGCAGAAAACCTCTCCCAAATGCACTTGTTACTGATTCCATTTGACAAGTGGCTGCTTCTCGATAATTACTGTACAAACCATTACTTCCAAAATAAATTAAACTCTCATCACTTTCTCCTGCTCTTTTACATTCATTAAAATGTATCTTGTAAAATAGGTGGCTGCACCTGCAGAAGCCTTTATTAAAAGATTGTGTTTTTGTATATATTTTGTCTTTGAGAGCTGTGTGTAGTTCATCTGCAATAAAAGTCCAGAGACTTTAATGGGGTAGGGGAGGGGTGGAGCTAAACCCTAAATTCAAAGGGAATTTTTAATTCATTTATTTTTAGTCATCTTTGAATTTATTTGATAAATATATACATGCTCTCCTTCTAAGGCCAATTTCAGTACCTAAAGAATCAGTTTCTCTGTGAGACATACAATGGTTTACATTCTATTGATTTTCATTAAGTAGATGATCTGCTCATATCTGAGATATGGCCTATCGTACATGGGGCATAAAGGGAACCGAAATATGGCAAAACTGGACTGATTTTTGGTTTTGAAACCTGATCATAAATCATGTTTGTGATGATTAGAATTTGTTTTATTATCAGTGAGCCAAGTGGAACATATTTTCAATTTCCTTTAGTTTTTAAAGGTTTTTGGATGGCCTCCAACTGAGAACCACATTGCAGAGTAGATATCTAATGGTGATATTGTTTATCTGTGTAGTAATAAGCTTCTTTTGTCTTTCAGCTTTTATTGATAATAAATGTACATTTTTAAAGAAACTGATGATAAAAAATACACATTTCTGGTCACTAAATTTTTTTTTCAAATTCTCTGTTTACTATTCCCAAGTAATTCAAACATTTTTGTATTATTTTGACATTGATCCATTGATTGGCACTTGATATGATTGATAAACTGGGACCTTCATTTAACAAACATTTACTGCGTCCAGAGGAGTTCTTGGTATTGCCCTAGGTGCTGTATTAGAGATGCCATTTTTAACTTCTATCTTGATTTTAAGGTACCCAGCAAGTTAAAAGTGCAATATCTTCAGAGAATTATTATAGCTGTTTCTTCTATTTCTTATCTCTCACTGTAATTAACTCTCAATAATATAAGTATGACATTTAATGGCAGCTTCCGGGATTGACCATACATGTTATAGAAAATATTAGATGTGTTTTCTAAAAGTTACTTGAGGGGACTGTCTTTGTTTTTAGCAATGTCCCAAATTTTCTCACCTTATTCTGTAAATAACCTTGCCTCCAGAGATTTTAGAATTACTGCCATAAGACCCCAAAGCAAACAATTATTCTCCGAGACAGTTCTGATATGAGATATAATGTCTCAAAAGATTCTCTGACAAATAGCCAAGCCAATGTGACAGTGTAAAATGAAGCACTTGGAGAAAAGCCTAGATTTTTCTTTCTTTTTAAAAATGAAACCCCTTTTCTGCACAAAATTATTATTATAAGGTAAGACATTTATATTTTCTTTGATAAACTACCTGGCAATAATTATTTGTGAGTCCCAAGATAGCCCCGGGTTATTTCATTTCCCTCACCTTAAACATAGAGAAAATGCTCAGAAATATTTATCAGTTTATTCAAATGGTCACCCTATAATGTATAGACCTAATGCCGGAACTCAGAATTTCTGACCTCTGAGATGATCAGGTATTGGAAATTAATGTTGATATTCTTCACTTTTCTTCCATAAATAATGTCAGTATCCATTAATTTCTATCCATAACTTTTCTTTTCTTTTTATATTCTCCATCTGTTCTTTTTCACTTATCTTTATTTTTCATGCTATATATTGTATCTAGGGTGATTCTTACCTATCTATTTCATGATAACTCCTATCCATTTTATCTCAGTAATCAAACTAAAATAATTTTCCCATTCAAAACACAAATGGCATGCAATTTCTAAATTCTTGTTATATTATTTGGAAAGGAGTATTGTTGATCTTATGTTTTCTCCCTCCACAGTACAACTTACAGTCTAGAATATATAAGAAATTCTAAATTTCTGACCTAAAAAAATGAAGGTGGTCATTGAGAAGTTAACTAATTCAAATCCAACTGGGGGGGGGGGGGGGGGGGGGGATTAAAAGAAATTTGTAAGTCATATTTATGTTGGTTAAATCATATTGAAAATATAAGAACAGAGAACAATAAATGAATTAAATCCGTTCTATTGGGAATAATTAATCTTATAATTATGTTTTGCAAATGATTTTATAAGGCAGACTTTTGGACTGTCCTAATTTTTAGTTATTTCAAACTAAAAATCTCCTCTTTGTAATGTCTTCCCATAGGCCCAGGTACTTTCTATTGAAGCAATGTGAAAGATATGCTATGCAATTGCCATTGAAATTGATATGAATAGGTGTTATATCTATATATTTTTTTCCTTTATACTGAACAACTTTTGTTCCTTCCACAAGGGCAAGGACCATTTTTCAGGCCCTCTTCCATCGTTATGGCCTCTGATGAGTGACTTGGGCTTGTCAGTTTTCTGATAATATGGTGCCCATTTCTTCCGTGATGGTGTAGATGTTGCAGAATGTAGATAATTACATTTTATAGCTAATACAAAATATTTCCTCAAATACAGTATAAAAGTTTGTTGTCTCATAAAAAATTATGGTGAATGAAATGAACCATTTTTTAATAAACTCAGTTTTCCCCACTATTTTTTAAATCAGAGAATGCAGCTTATATTGGTGAGTTATCAACAAAAAAACAGAAAGACTGTGTGCCCACTTTCAGTTACCCTCTATTCCTCTAGGATCTCAAATTTCTCCACCTGGGAAGGGAATAGTAATTTTTTGTTTTGTTTTCCAAAGCCCAAGTCTTTCCTTCCCCATGTAACCTAACTTAGAAATTCAAGAGCAGTTATTTTCTTACCCCCAGCAATGCCTGTTGCAGCTACATCGTAACAACTACAGATGAAGGGATACGGGGGACGCAGTTACATGAGTAAGAAAAGTGATGCACAGGAAAACAGAAATAAAAGCCTATCAAAGGTCCTTTTATCCTGTTTCAATGGCTGCTTCCTTCTTTATTGGTTGCATTTCTCTTTATGCTGAATCAGGCCCTTCTAAATGAGATTGGGGATTTCCACTGCCAGCTATGGACCCAGCCCCATGGGCATGAGATGAGCTAGTCCAAAGGTGGGCACGTTCCTGACCCATGAAAGCCTATAGTGATGGGTCAGGCATATTTTGCTACCTCTCTACATAGTTGCTGTTTTTTCATCCAGTTCAAGAACTGCCATTTCTGGAGCAGTAATGAGAAACGTGATAGGAATGCCGAACTTGATGTCAAACTCATATTTGTGTAGGTCATGGGTGAACCAGCTTTTTCCAAACCACCTGGTACTTTCCGTGTTAGACTGCAGTTGGAACCAATCTTTGTCTGCATTCTTGTTGTTCTTCACATATGGAACGAGAGACTGATATTCATCTTCGAATTGCTCACCTACAACTCCAGATCTCAATATCCAGGACCAGGATCTTAGACATGGTACTACGATGGCCTTGTCTGCCATCTTAGACTTGGTTTTATTTTGTTTTTTAAACCTCACCCAATGATATGTTTTTGTTGACTTTTTTAAAGAGAGAGAAAGGTGCGGTAGGGAGGAGAAAGAGAGAGAAACATTGATATAAGAGAGAAACATCCATTGATCAGCTGCCCCACCCTTATGTGCCTGACCGGTTCGAACCCACAGCCTTTTGGTGTATGGGGCAATACTCCAACCAACTGAGCGCCTGGCCAGGGCTGGACTTCATTTTCTTAGTTCTAAAATAATGATGCTAAAGCAGATGGTTTTAGAATTCTAAAATTCTTTAAATCAAATTGCTAGTAATCACCTTTGTTGTCTGCAAACTTTCTAACCAAGATTTCTGTCTTCAACCCAAACTACAATAAAAATATAGAAAATAAACTCAAATGTGGCAAACTGCTAGATACTTTCTTTTAAAACCAGTTCATTAATAAAGAATCTGAAGTATAGTTGCCCCACCAATCACTAAAACACCTATCATCCAATCCTCATGTCTCCCGAGTCCTAAGCACATTCATTGGAGTCAGCAAAATAACACCATAATGGAGGTGATACTGTCATCACTTTAAAAATTAGGAAACTAAAGCTTAGAGACAGTTAATTTCTCAAATCACATAACATGTTGAGTGTAAAAACAGGGTTAAAACCTGAGTGTGTTTGTTATTACCACACAAAATTAAGTTATATTTTGTCTATGGCTGCCATATGTAGTAACCGAAAATGAAACTCAGAATAAAAAACTAAATCTTCTTTGATATATCTTGCTCTTAGGAATTCATTCTAGATCCTCCTTACAGTCCTTTCAAAGCCTACTAATTTATCTGCTCCCTCTGATTCTTTATGATACATTATTTAAAGCACTTTTATGACTTTCAGCTTATGCTTTATAGATATGTGTACACTTGTCTAAGCATCCCTACCATCATGCACACTCCTCAAGAACAGAGACTATATTTTAATCACCATAATGTCCATAAAAATATCTAACTCACTTCTTACACAGAGCAGACATTTCATAAATATTTCTTGAAATAAATTGAATTGAATTAAAATAAATTGAGCACCACATTTTACAGCCGTTAAGCTTTAAGTCTGAATGATGAACTGAATTGTTAAAGGTGTCCTTAGGAGACTAAGCAGAAATTAATTTCTTAACTTTTGTGCATGCACAAAATGACAATCTGTTAATAATCATAAGACATTAGTTGGAAATGATTACAGTGTATATTTATTTTATTTTATTTTATTTTATTTTATTAAACACATATTTTGAATTTTTGTTTTGTGTTGTTTTTGCTAACTTTGTTTTGTTTGCTAATTTGTTTTATGTTTCTGAGAATATAAGTAAACATAAGAAGTAAACTTCTGAAAGTTTGGAACAATATTTTCCTAATCTAGGTGTGCTTTATAAGAAACAGTTATTGAGCATCTCTTAGCACGAGAATGTACCAGAAATAGGGAATTTATAGAGAAGGAGGATGAGTTCTACCCCAATTAGCTGCTCCTAGTTTAGAAGATATTATGGGCATTACTTGTGTCCCTCCTCTCAAGTCCATTTTTGAAATTCTAACCCTCAAGGTAATGGTATTAGAATGTGGAACCTGAAGGAAGTAATTAGGTCATGGTGGTGGAGTTCTCTTGAATGGATTTGTGCTCCCATGAGAAGAGACACAAGAGCTTGCTCTGTTTTCCTCTATGTAAAGGTACAACAAAAAGTTGACAGTTAGCAGTTAGGTAGAGGGCCTTCACCAGGCACTAAATGGAGCTGCACTTTGATCTTAAACTTCCCAGCTCCCAATTATGAGAAATAAATTCCTGTTGTTGTTAGCAACCCAGCTTATGATATTATGTCATAGCAGCCCCAACTGACTAGTACATTGTGGAAACCAGCCCTAGCTTGTTTGGCTCAGTGGATAGAGCATTGGCCTGCAGATTGAAGGGTCCCGAGTTCTATTCTGGTTAAGGGTACATGCCTGGGTTGCAGGCTTGATCCTCAGTGCGGGGTGTTCAGAAGGCAGCTGATCAATGAGTCTCTCTCATCATTGATGTTTCTGTCTCTATCTCCTTCACCCTTTCTCTCTGAAATGAATAAAAATCTATTTTAAAAAAGAGAGAAACCAGATGCAATAGCAATAAGGTAAATTATTTAATAGCAGAAAGGAACAACACCTTCACCAGACGAGAGGTGTCAGGAAAATCTGTCTGAAGCATGACTTCTGAGCTACCCTAAGATTTGATGAGTTAGTTAGGACAAGGCCATGTTGGAGAAGGTAGACATTTGGGGCAGAGGGAACAAGAGGAGAAAATGCTTGGTGTATGGGTGGGATAAAAACATATTCGAAGTTGGTGAATCATAAAATAAAAGGCAGGGAGTGCTTGAGAAAGAGGCCGGAGACATGGCAGTAACCACATTAAAGGGGGACCTGCAGGTCAGGTGGAAGAGCTTTGATGCTGTCATTGAAGCGTGTCAAGCAGAAGAGAACTGTGTTTTAGTTTATGTGTAGCTGGGATGCTCTAATGTAAAGAGCAGAAAAGAGCATGAATTTGGGCAGCCAAAGCAATTGTAGAAAAGTAGGCAAAGACAAATACAACAAACAGACTTGGTGAATAATTGGTGAGGAGGCACAGGGATACAAGAATTAAGGTTTGAATGGGCAATAATACGTTCACTTTTTGATTTGTTGAATGAATCTTGGCTGAGAACACTCATTGGGAACTTCAGTACTTAGGTGGTAGTTGAAACTAGGAACGTGGAGAGCTCACCTAGGGTGATTGTACAGAGGAAGGTTACAGTGGGCCAAGAATCAGATGCTGAGACATTTTATCAATTGAAGAGTGTCAAGTGTCAAGTAAAAGTCCTGTAAAGAGTCAGAGAAAAAAAAATGCCAGACATTTAAAAGAAGATTGTCAGAATGTGGTATTATGGCAAACAAAGTGTTTTTGGAAAGATTGAATGTCTAAGAGTGTTAGATGTTTGTTGAAGTTGTTGTAGAAGAGTATGACTCATAAGAAGACTAAGAAAAAGGAGGAAGAGGAGGAAAAAAGAGAAATACATAAAAATAATTTGTGTTAATAAGTTTTTTCTGTGCAAGGTGACACTATTAAGTGCTTTATATGCATCATCCTATCTATTCTTACAAATATTCGCAATTGGTTCGCAGACCCAGGAATTCCAAGTCAGTTATCTGCTTGGGTTCAGATAACTTCATAAACCTTATAGTAATATAACCCTGAAGTTTACATGATTTATTTTTCTGGATCCCACTTAAAGAGTGCCCTGTATTATTTCCATTTTAAAGATGAGAAGACTCATGACTTCACTTGTCAGTCATGAGAACACCAAGGGGGGATTATTTTCATCAGATCCCACCATGATGGTTAATTTGATGTCAATGTGACTGGGCCAGGGGGTGCCCAGATACTTGGTTAAACATTATTCTGGAACATTATTCTGGTCTGTTTGTAAGGATGGTTCTGGCTGGGATCAGCATTTGAATTAGTAGCCTTAGTAAAACATATTGTGTTCCCCAACACATGTCAGCTCACCCAATCCACTGACAGTCTGAATAGAACAAAAAGGCTGAGGAGGGAGATTCACTCTGTCTGCCTGACTGTCTTTAAGTTGAACATTGGTTTCTCCTGCCTTCAGACTCAGACTCAGACTCAGACTCAGATCTCAGATTCAGACTGAAACTTACACCATATTCCTGCTTCTCAAGTCTTTGGAGTTGGACTCAACCTATACCATTGGCTCTCTTGGGTCTCCTGCCTGCTTACTACAGATCTGGTACTTCTAAGTCTCTATAAACACAGAAGCCGATTCCTTATAATAAATCTCTACACACACACACACACACACACACACACACACACATTACAACATGTGTGTATACATACAAATATACAGCTTCTAGTGAATCTGTTGCTCTGGAGAACCCTGATTAAATACCCACCCACCTCCACTTACCAGCTAACTCTCAATTAGCCTACTAAAAGGGACAGTGCTTGCTATTTAAATGCAGCTTCAACAGCCCTTCTGCACAAAAATGCTGGAGTTGTCACTGGTCACAAGGACTGTGTTAATTAGTGTATAACAGTATCATGAACATAAGCATACTTTATATCCCTCAAAAACAGAAGTAATTATTCTTTAAATGCCCTACTTAATCTGCTTCTGCTTCTAGTGTTGTGTATTCCCTAAATGCAAAATAGAAAGGTTTCTCTATTTGATCCCTCTCAGATGAGGCACTGACAAATAAGGGAACTTCACAACATCAGCATTAGAATCCCCCAGAAACTCTGGATAAGCTCATTTTCCCTCTGAGGCAGGAAAAAAGTGACCTACTTGGTAAGTCTGTTGTTCATTTCCATACATGTAGCACTAATTAACATTGAAAAGCTCCACTTTCCTCCTTAAAACCTTGATAAGAACTGAATGTTAAAATAACATAGTCCAACTACAGTCAATGAGCAGCTTTATGACAGAAATATTGTGGTGCCCACATTGGCTGTCCTGTCTCTCCCGGGTCCATGCTGCTTCTGTTTGACCTGGACTTAAAATGATGAATAAGATTTTACTAACTCCTTTGTCCACTCTTCTCCCACCAGGCCTTCCTCCTGTTCATTCTCGTCACAGCCAGATTTCATTTTATAAGTAATAGAAGAGTAGGCACTTCCTCTGCTTACAGCCTGTGATGGCTTCCCATTGCACTTAGAATGCATCCAGCGTCCTTTCCATGGCATACAAGGCCCTCTGTGGTCTGGCTCTGGCCTTTCTAGTCTTATCTCTCCTCACTCCCTTGCCCACTCAGCAGGACTGGCACCTGCTGTCCTCACTGCATGGAAACCTCCCCCCATAACTTTTCTTTTGTAAATCTTTACCCAAGGACATGCTTCCATTGATATGAGAGAGAGAGACTGAACCTGCAACCTGGGTATCTGCCCTGAGCGGAAATCGAACCCAGGGCCTTTCAGTGTACAGGATG